CCCCTTTCTTTATTTTTGGAAAGGCGCGTTTTAGTTGTTGGTTTATTGATAATCATAGAGTATAAAGCTGAAAGGTCTTCCAGAGCAATGACTTCAAACTGCGTGCAAAACCTTAGTATTCAAGGAGATCTTCAGGGGGCCATTATGACAGCAACTAAAGGAACAAATTTACCAGTCCATTCTCTCACCCTGACTACAACTGAAGAGGCTCTGCTTCCATCTGTGTACCAGGGGCTCTCAGAATGGCTTCACAGATAAAGAAAGGGTTGGAAGATCAGGAGCTAGGCCAGTGCCTTATTCCACGGGGATATCAAACAAAACACAACGACAAGGTCCAGAATGGCTGAGTGACCTCTATTATCTGTTATTTAATTAATCTATAACTAACCAGTTGATACATTAATTAAAATATCTAATACTATAACATACAATAATTATATTTCATTGAGTAATAATTTAATCAATAGATTAATCTATTGATAATAAGGCTATTATTTACTGTACAGGTAAATATACATCATATATTTATATAATTATATATTATTAATATAATAGGTTGGTAAGTTACTCCGTTAATGATCATTTTTTTCACTTTTTAAAATTTTATAGATAAAAAATAGTAAAATGATACAGAATTTCAAAACAAGATGATAGGAAATTAACAATGGTTATTGTAGTGTACATTGTTATTTTCAAAGTAGTTGCTCAGATATAGGCATGTAAGATTGATCAAACAATATAAATACTAACTGTTCCTTTCAATGAACTAATAGAAATTAGTAATACAATTATCTTAGCTATCGTATATATACAGACCTTTTCTCCTTTCCCCATCCCAGTTATGATAAATCTTATTATTTAATGTTATTTAATTCTATTGCATTGTTTATTTCAATAATCATGTTTCATTTCTAAAACTTACTAAGTATTTCAGATCTTTTCTAATAATATCTCTCTTCTTGATCTGTTATCTGTTTAAAAAATGTCTTATATATTATTTTTTGGTGTATATTTGGAAATTTCAAACTCTAAAGTCTATGGTTTTTTCCTACTAACTTTTATTTCTCTCTCCTGGTGTTTTGTGGTCTTGGATTTGAATTTGTGCTGATCTGAGGGTCTACTTTAGGGATGCTCCTCTTCAAAGAGGATTACAGTTTCTTGCACCTGAGCCTAGGAGCCCCACTCACTTGCCCTAAAACACCCCACCAATAGTCTCCTTTCAGATTGGACAGGTGTCTCAGATTCTGCTGTTTCAACTTATCCTCACCCCAGGCTTGGTCTCTTACTTGGTTGTTAGTAAGGCATTCATCTTTTAGGCAACTCTTCCTCTCTGTTTGCTAACTACTTATTTGCACCTCTCATTTCAGCTCATGATTTTGTTTTAGTTTGCTAAGATGTGGGGGAAGGAGGTAGCTAGAGGTGTTCTTATATCTTGAAACTTTCACAATTTATTTAAAAGCATCTTTCATCCATAATCTCCTTGTTATTATATAGATCAACCTTTACAAGCAGGCAGGCAGCTACCTGTAATACTACAGGGGGACTTCATTCAGCTTTTGCTTATGGATTTCCCACACAGCTTCTTTTGATCCTGATATTCTAATTCCTGTCATCTTATTTTTTTGAGAGATCTGGCAGGTGTGAAGGCTAAAGAGAGTTAATTTTTTTGGAGGTCTTTCTATAGTCTAGATACTAGGCCTCTGTCTGAAGAATAGGCAGCAAAATTTTTCTCCCATTTTGTAGGTTGTCTCTTTACTGTTTCTCATCTAGATCTTAGATCAATTTTGATTTTTTTTAAACTGGGGGGAAAAAGTATATATTTAGACTTAGCCAGCTGGACTCAGTGTAGATGATCCTGGTTTTGTTGGCCACATCCAATGCATCATAATCGGGAGTCAGAGGAACATATACCTTCTTCTCTCCATCAGGCCTGATTAACGTATTGACCTTGACAACATCGATGTCATAAAGCTTTTTTACAGCTTGTTTGACTTGGTGCTTATTGGCTTTGACATCCACAATGAACATGAGTGTGGTGTTGTCCTCGATCTTTTTCATGGTTGACTCTGTGGTCAGGGGGACCTTGATGATGGCATAGTGGTCAAGCTTGCTTCTCCTGGGGGCGCTCTTCCGAGGGTATCTGGGCTGCCTCCAGAGCTGCAGTGTCTTGGGACGGCGGAAGGTGAGTGATGGTTGTATCTTCTTCTTTTTGTGCTGTGGATGCCTTTCAGCCAAGCCTTCTTAGCCTTCAAAGCTTTTGCTTTAGCTTCAGCTTTGGGAGGGGCAGGGGCTTCCTTCTTCACCTTCAGCACCATCTTGTTAAAAAGGCTCGGTTTTATTTTATCATAGTCTCCTGCAGGTGCTATCCAGTTTTTCTGGCACCATTTGTTAAAGAAGTTGTCTTTTCTTCAATATATGTTTTTTATCCCTTTATCAAAAATCACACAGCTCTGGATGCATGAGGTTGTTTCTATTTTGTTCCATTCTGTTGGCCTGTTTGTTTTTATACTAACCACACTGTTTTTGTTACTATAGCTTTGTAATATAACAGTATTATGATGCCCCCAGCTTTGCTCTCAATTTGGTAAGAATTGCTGTGGTGGATTGGCAACTGGTGATCAACTTGTAACACCCAGATGAATTGAATCAGTGGCTTGCTGGATGTGGGAGGTCCACCTGAGGATTGTTGCCAGTGACATAAAAAGGAGAACTAGAGAGGAAAAGGTGATGCTGTTGATCCTCCTGGAGAAGCTCATTGCATGGACTTTCCTGATATGAACTCAGCTGTTCTCATCCTTGGAGGAGCTCAGGACCTCACTGTTGCTGAGGATGGCTGCAGTTCTTTTGGGAGGATCGCTGGTCCTTACTCAGAGCATCACTTCCTGGCTCCAGTGCAGATCGCTCGGCCTGCTGGCACAAATGCTACATCCCACTGATGAAGACTTTCCAGCTTCCACTACTGACCTTTGTTCCTTTCCAGTAGAGATCCTTGATACCGGCTTGCATAAGACACTTTCATGGGCTCTAGGTCTCCAGTTGGACTGGTTGGGGCATTGCCATAGGCTCTAGATTTTCAGCAGGACTCCTTCAGGACATTGCTGTGGGACCCAGGCCCTCAGCTGGATTCTTTGGATCTCTAGTGTGTGGACAGATCTCCTGCACTCTTCTGCACTTGACTCTTTTGGATGAATATTATAAAATAATCTTATCAATTATATGTCCTGGATTAAATTGTTTCCCTTGAAAACCCTGACTACAACAGTTGCTTTGGTTCTTCTGGGTCTTTGCTGGTTCCATACGAATTTTAGGACTTTTTTTCTAGTTCTATGAAGAACATCACTGGAATTTTGATGGAGGATTCTTGAAGTGATCCATAATTCACCTTTGGTAATATGGGCATTTCAGTAACATTAATTCCCATAACCCAAGAACATGGGATGTCTTCCCATCATTTTCTAGCTTGAGAGAGAAAAAGAGACAGACAGACAGAGAGAAAGAGAGAGAGAGAGAGAGAGAGAGAGAGAGAGAGAGAGAGAGAGAGTCTCTTGGTAAGGAAGGTTATGAGGTTATGATGTGGCTCTTTCTGACGCTGTCCATCTCTGTCCATCTTTCTTTATCCCCTGGTGCAATGATGAACATCTTGGTAGAGTTCCAGCTCCTTACCTTGGAATAGTGATTTATAGATTGCAAAGTCCTTGTGCCAAAACTGACTTGCCTGAGTTCTCATCAGCCTTCAGAGAAGAGCACCCAGGGCATCAGTGTCCCCAGTTTGAAAGAGAACACTAGAGTCCCAGAAGTCACTTGACTTGCTTACAGACCAAAAGCTCATCAGGACTGTCACACCTGCCTCTTGATCCCCAAATCTGTTGCTTCCCTTAATTAAACCTTCCTTTCATGAGAAAATAAAACACATTCAGTGGTTATTCATTCATGCATTCATCTAATAGTTATTTGAGCATCTGTTACAGGTTCCATTCCAGGCATAATTATATTGCTGACAATAAAGCCTTGTCCTTATGATCTTTACAGCCTAGCTGATGGAAAATAATAAATAAATAATGATACAGATGCCAAGGTGGTATTTACCATGATAAAAAGTAATATGGGCATAGATAAAATGAGGAAACAGGGCACTATGGAGCAGGATGAATAAAATGAAGACTTCATGAATAAAACACGTAGGAGAAAAAACATCCTCAGTAGAAGGAACAGTAAGTGCCAAAGCCCAAGGCAGGAAAGGATTTGACTGTTCTAAGAACATTGAAGGGCTCTATGGTCACAGTAGTCTGAGGAAATGGAGAAAGATGAAATAGAAGAGGCAGGTGGAACACATGGTAAGGAAGATCTCGGACATAAGTATGAGGGAGAAAAGTCAGACTTCCTCTTTATACAAAGGGTCGTCAAAATATGCGGTGTGTGTCTAAATAAAAAATATTCCAATAAAAGACATATTGTCATTAATCCCACACAAAATACTCTCTTTCACATCAAACACATTGGTCCCACCATTCTTGTCACTTTCTGAAGCCACTCTGGAAGTCCTCTTTTGTGAGTGTCTTCACAAGGTGTGATCAAGAATGCAGTGAATGCTGCTGCCAAAGTGCTGTCCAATGGAAAGGCAGGCTCATAAGTCACTGTGATGGGTCCTCAACTACCTTACGCATTGGACCTGGCTCTGTGTGACTTCTGGCTCCTCTCCCAGTCAAAGTTGTCTAAAAGATAAAATATTTTGGATTGATTCAAGACACCAGGACACCACCACAGAGCAACTAAATCCATGAAAGAGGACTTCCAGAACGGCTTCAGAAAGTGGCATGACTGATGGGATAAGCATATTTGAAGCAAGGGGAAGTGTTTTAAGGGGGACTCGTGACAATATCTCTTATATTATTTTTGTAAATGTAAGCATTCACCATTTTTATCATACCTCAATAAGAATCTGTGTGCTGATGGACTCCAGGCTTAACACCTCTTCCTCTATTTGCTTGTCAATTTCCCAGGCCTACAGGTTTTCCCAGCTTCCTGAAATGGTCATGGGCTCTCCACCTCCACCTGTACCACCCCGACCTGGGCCAGTGGCTGTTGCTTCTCTCAGACGGTAACACATTGTTTTCTCTGCTTCCTTTGGAACATTTGGAAAGGATTTGTCCCTGTGCTTCTTGGTCCTAAGGACAGTAGCACCAGCAGCTTTTCTTCATGTCCTCCCCCACTCCAGGTACCTCACCTGGATAGGCACCCATGTGCCTGGGCACCTGAGAACCAGGGAGTAGGGACCACAGAGAGTCCATGGACTCTCCACCTTTCTGAGTAGAAAGTCCTTGAAAATCCAGGCACCAAAGGCAAGGCCAACCATCCCAGGCCTGGAAAGCCTCATCCCCTGACCTTGAACATTTAGAAGTGATGCCATCTCAGGTCACTACAGTGACTCCTACCCTATTTACACCTCTAGGAATCCCTGTTATTTAAGGCTGGGGACTGACAGACCAGGAAGAAGTATATGTGGATACCTGCCCCAAATCTTAAGATACCTCTGCATAAGGCGTATATCATGTGTTCTCTGCTCTGTAGTGATACAGCAAGTACACGTTTTTAGCAAAGATGGGCAAGGAATACAGAAGCCATGAACACTGAGAAAGGTTGGGTTAAGCCTGGTGTCCATGACTGGGGAGAAACAATGGTGCTCTGGGGTACGCACGAGCCACTGTCCTAGCCATTCCTCTTCAGCCTCCCTGAACATGTCAGTCACTTCACATCTGTGGACTATGGGTCTGGATTATGTGAACTGATAAGGAAAATACATGTTTCCCTGGTGGATTAGTATGCACAGCTGTGTAGACAGTGCCCTCTTGTACCAGTAGGAAACAAGGATAGAGCAGGCGACACTGTGCCAATCCCTGACCTTGCCTATCTGTCCCCTCATTTGATTCTGTCTGTAAAGTGAGAGCAGTGGCCTAAATGATTTCAGGAGCACTGGGGTTCCTCAGATGGGGGTCTCAGAAAAATGTGTGGGGCCGCAGCCAGGAATCCTACTGGGAAGGGGCTTCTGAGCAATAGTAAAGGCCTGGGACTTTACTATTGGGAAGTCCTACTGGGTGGGAAGCAGGCAGAGGAGAGAGAGGGAAGGCAGCCCCATGGGGAGCCACCAGCACCCACCCTGCTAGAGAAGCAAATCCTCACAGCCTCTGCTCTCGGGAAGAATAGGAGGCTCCTCACTTACTCCCGGGAGTTCTGGCTTGGAGGGGCCCACGTCAGCCATTTGGGAGGAGTTTGCAGACACCAAAATTTATTTCTTCACTCCTCTCCCAACCACCATACTCCTCCCTTGCCCTCCTGCGCCATCTGTCATCCTTGCCAGGTGTCAAGGAGTCACTTTTCCCTGAGATAAACCCATAGAATTAGATGGGGAAGGAACTTCTGAGGTGAATCTGTTCACCCCTTTAGGTCCTAGATGGGTAGGGAAAGGACGAAAATGGACCCCTGCCTCCCATCCTCCCTGCATGGCTCTCTTCTTCTCAGCCTGTGACAGTCATTGCTCTGTGTCAGGGGGCCCTATGAGCTGGCAGCCCTCCGTCTGCTGTGGCTGCCTTTCCCTCCCTCCCATCTTTATTTTAGGGAAGCCAGAGGTCCCCCTGCCTCACATGTAGGGTGACACCTACAGAAAGAGGCGGCCGGTGTATGCGAAGGCAGCCTTTCCTTGTATGTGGGCGTGCCTGTGCCCGCCAAGTGGCCGCCCTCCTCTGGCTTCTGTGCACTAAGGGGAGAGATGCTGTGACCATGGGCCTGATTCTCGGGCTGCCTGTGGGACCAAGAGAGGGCAGCAGGTCTCCCTCATTCACGATGCTTCCCAATTGCTGGTCTCCAGTTTCTGGAACAGCCTTGCTTCACAGAATCTTGGGCATCTTGCTTCCTGCTAGTAGCAGCAACACCGAAGGTGCCCCACCCAGCCCAGCCTTGCAGGGCCTCTCTGCTTCCCCACCCTGCAGACAGAGCCTTCTCATTGGTTGCAGACCGTGTCATCACCTGCTGGTCTACCCACCGTCCCCAGCTAACACCCAAGCTAACTGCTTTGCTTCTTTTACGCAAAAATTAAATTTCTATTACCTGGAGACCTGGAGCCACTCTGAGGAGAAAAGTGACCTCGAACACCTAGAAATGACTCCAGTTTGAGCCACCATTACTGCCATAAGTCTGGGTACTTCTTGCCCCACTGGTGCCCCCAGAAATCCCTTGTTATTTGAAGGAGGATCCAGTCCTGAAGACACCACACGTGTAGGGCATAGAGGTGACAGCAAACTCCCAAATGACAGCCTGGGGCCCACGCTAACACAGCCCCTCTGCTCTGCCCAGGTCCACCTCAGACATTGGCAGCAAGACCCGAATGGCTGACTCCGTGGGCCCCGAGCCAGCCCAGCTGCATGAGAGTGCCTCGTTCGCCCAGGTGTCCAGAGGCCCCGTGTCCGTGGCACAGCTGGATCAGTCAGCTTTAAATTACTCAGGTGAGGAAGAAGATGGCCCAAAGGCCCCCCAAACCCTGCCCATGAGCCTTCCTTCCTCTTGACCCCCACATCCACACTACCTGCTCCCTGCCACCCTTAGGAATCAAAGCCACTGCGTCCAGTGTCTTACGAAGATCCCAAATCAAGCAAAATGCCAAAGCATGCTGAAGTCAGGGTGCAGGTTAACGTTTTGCCACTTGTTCTGCGGGGCTTGTTTGTTTTATCTTTCAAGCATTACCCAGGCAGCTCTCCCTCCCGTCTCCTTCCCTTCCTCCCTCAAGCAACCTGAGGCCTCAAGCTGTGCATTTCAACCCTTTGCCACCTAACGTCTTCGTACCACAGTGGGTATTCAAGGTTTATGTGTCTTAAATTTATGTAAGCGATACCCTGCACGTTTCCTCTTGCCCTAGTTTTCCTGCCTCCACACCATTCGCAGGGTCTGTGCAGGTTGCCACTCACAGCCCAATTAGCTCCAGCCATTGAACCTGCCTCGGGGTGTGTGACCCAGCCCGTCCCTGTCCCTCCTGATGGACTTACAAGTTGTTGCCAGGTTTTTTCTAGGACAAACAATGTCCAAGTGGAACATCATGCGCAAGTTTGTACATGACTTCAGTGGTTTTCCAGTTTATTCAGACACTACCTTTCAGACTAAAACTGTAAGCCTTTTGCTTCATTTTCCTGGATCAAGAAAGAAAGAAAGAAAGAAAGAAAGAAAGAAAGAAAGAAAGAAAGAAAGAAAGAAAGAAAGAGAGAGAAAAAAGGAAAGAAAGGGAAAGAGAGAGAGAGAGAGAGAGAGAGAGAGAGAAAAGAAAGAAAGAAAGAAAGAAAGAAAGAAAGAAAGAAAGAAAGAAAGAAAGAAAGAAAGAAAGAAAGAAAGAAAGAGGGAGGCCTGGGAAGATGGTTTAGGAGAATAAACGCTTCCCTGGCAAGTGCAAGGGTCTGAGTTCAATCCCCAGTTCTGCCAAAAAAAAAGAAAGGAAGGAAGGAAGAAGAAAGAAAGAAAGAGAAAAGACACGCATGTATTCCCTAGCAAAAAAAGCACCTGGACCCCAAGGTGTCATTTCTTTTTGTGAGCAGGACAGGGACAGGAGAGTTGGTGGGGTTTCAGTGAGGGAGCTGGGCCACCAGTCTCTGGAAAGCCCATCTGAGTCACAGCAGACAATGCCTTCCACCCTGACTAGACAGGTGACAGTGGCCGAGGCTGGAGGAAGAGGACTCCTCTCCTTTTACCACCCCCTGAGGCCTTTTTTCATCAAAGCCCCCAATCATGCTCAACGCCGCAGCCCTCCCTGCGTGCCCTAGCTCCCCCAAACTTGAGCAGATGCAGGCCAAGTGGGTGGGGCACCAGCTGGGGGTAAGAAGATAGGAAAAGTCCACAGTGCTCCCAGCCCACCCGGTATTCCATGAAAATGTCAGTGCACACTCCACCCTGGCGAGGGGCGCAGGCTGTATTTTAGCTCTACCCGGCCCCTAGGCCAGGGCACCGCTGCTCCACCAGGCACAGAGGCCTTAGACCAGTTCTGCAAAGAAGGAAGGCCGGGGTCCCTCCTCCAGGCCTACCCTCTTCCTGGTTGCTGCATTACCTGGAGTCCCAGCCAGAGGTCACTGCCTTAGAAGGGACGGCTGGACCTCAGTGTCATAGCCCAGCACAAGCTCTACTCCATCAGATCTGACCTAACAAAACTTCTGGCCCAGCAGACCTCCAGGCAGTCTTAAAAAATGGCTTCCTGTGGCTCTGGGGGCCTGGGGGTGGACTACATCTCAGCCTCTTCTGACCTCCCCACCCATCTCCTCCATGCCAGGTAACACGGTGCCAGCGGTGTTTGCCATCCCAGCTGCCAACAGACCCGGATTCACCGGCTACTTCATCCCCACCCCTCCCTCATCCTACAGGAGCCAAGCCTGGATGTCCTACGCAGGAGAGAATGAGCTCCCCAGCCAGTGGGCCGATTCGGTGAGACCCTTGCTGTCCCTCACAGGGCTTTACCTATTTGATACACTTCTGGGTCAAAAGGGGTGAAAAACTGAGACTATGTTATGCACCTCAGCCCCCCTCCCACTAATCAGAGGGCTGTCAGCCATTGTAAAGGAGGTAGTGTCCTAAGGCATAGAGTTTCCTTTGACAGAAGAATTTGAAACCTGTTTTCTGATAGATTACACTTCTTCCTAGCAGGGCAACTTTGATAAATAAAGTTTTATAACTATTACCTATTGAGTATTTTCTATGTGCCAGATAGCATATTAGGTGTTTTGTTTATATCATTTTATTTAATCTTCCCAACAATCTTGTCAGGCAGGTACTCTTAGTTTTATAATTACTCCCCCTTTGCAGATGAGGAAATTGAGGCCTACACAAGAGATGAGACTTGTTTGAGACCACACAGCTAGTAAAATGCCAAAGCCTCCACTAAAACCTTAACCTGTTCACTGAATCTGTTTCTTCCAGCTGCCAAATTCTATAAAATTTTAGATCAAAGGTCAACAAATGAAGCATTACACTGAAAAGATCTCATACACGGATCCTAATACTTCCTGCCTGACTTCTAGCCAAGGATTGGCTTACACCAGACTTTTGTTTTCTTCCTTTATGACAAGTAGGAGTTTATGACAGGGTCCGAGCCTGCCTGGGTGTTCACGCCAGTTTTTGGAGCCACCTGTCAAGGCTGCCATGTTTTATGAAATCAAGCCAAACCAACATTGGCTCCTGAGTGGGTTGGCTCAGCCTGAGGTGAGGTCACTCACTATTGGCGAGCAAGGCAAGCTGTCCCAGGCTAGCCCCGAGGTGTCCCTGGTGTTCTTGGTTATTTTAGGTGTTCGTCTTAGGACTTGGAATGCTAAAGTCAGGAAATACCTTGACTCCAGGGTCTACCTCGCTGTTACATGGAAGCCCGGTGTATCAGTTGTTTTTTGTTTGCTTGTTTGTTTTTTCTAAACTAAACCCACAGCATTCAGGTTTAATTGCAGGGTTGGCACTTTATGATAAATAAGTGGGTTTTGGAGTTGCAGTTTGGACACTTGGACTCAAGGCTTTTCTGTCACTGGCAGGGCACCCTCTTTGTCCACACCCTGGGGCTCCACACTACCTACTTGATCGCTTCCACTCTGCATCTCCCTGCAGTGAAGCCATCTTTAAACCCATGACAATCTTGCTGGTCAACTTTCTTGAAGAGATTAAGTTTCTGTTGACCAGAACTTATGCCTTTGATTTCCAAAACATTTAAAATACATGCTACCTTGTATGGAAAAATATCGAAATGAGTACTATCCTTCCCCACTCCTCTTCAAAAGAGCATAGGGTGTGGGGCCAGACAGCTAGCTCAGCAGTCCAAGTGCCTGCCTGGCAAGCACAAAGACGGGTGCCAAGCCGGCCACCAAAACCAGGCATGGTGGCGCGTGCCTATAATCCCAGAGCTGGGGAGGCTGGGACAGGAGGATCAGTATGAGTCCAAGCTGTGTAGTGAGACCCTGTACCAAATTAATTAATTAATTAATTTAAAAGAAAAAAGGAGTATAGAGTGTAATTTAGTTTATCCTGTATGAATGATTGAGCACCACTGTGGCGTCTCCTTATACTAAAATGACATTTATAGGATAAGCTCGTGTTACTTGCCAGGTGTGGTGGGTGTATGCCTATAACCCCAGCAGTTGGGAGGCTGAGGCAGGAGGATCGCCATGAGTTCAAGGCCAGCCTGGCCAACATAGTGAGTTCAAAGCCAGCCTTGACTCTATAGTGAGATGTCTCAAAAATAAATAAATAAATAAAAGGAAAGAAAAAGGAAGAAAGGAGTTCATATTACTTGTAAGATTATTGCCCCTATGTCAAGTATTTCCAAACTACTGTAATTTTCAGAGTTATTACCACAGCTCAATTCAAATTGTCTTTGGCTGCTCTTGCCCACAGCTGGCACTTTATATTGCTGTCAGTGTCCCCATTTTTAGTAATAAACATGTCCTTAAATGTGCTTTTCCTAATGTGTTTTTATCTGCAAATAAAGCATGTCTGAGCTTGCTAGAATTGTTTGTAAAGCGGCAGTATATAAAAGGGAACTAGCAGGATTGCCTGGAACTTTTGGAAGTCTGAATCTTTATGGGACTTCATGGAATCTATTTTTTAAAATTTATTTTTATTGATACACTGTCTTGCTATACAGTTTGGGCTCGTAGTGATCCTCCTGTCTCAGCCTCCCCAGCGCTGGGATTCCAGGCATGTGCCACCACACCTGGTTTTGGTGGCTGCCACAGTGCACCCAGGGTTCTGGGGCTGGCACAGCATGCAGTACTGGGGATCAAACTCTGGACCTTGTGCTTGCCAGGCAGGCACTTAGACCGCCGAGCTATCTCCCCAGGCCTATGGGATCTGTTTTTATTGTTAGAGGCCTTATTTCCATTTCTTTTCCTCCTTCCCTCTTTCGGTCTCTCCCTCCCTCCCTTCTTCCCTCCCTCCCTTCCTTCACTCGTTCTTTCCTTCCTTCCTTCCTTCCTTCCTTCCTTCCTTCCTTCCTTCCTTCCTTCCTTCCTTGCCTACTTGCCTGTTGTTTTTGTCATTCTCTGCTTTTCTAAGCAAGTCAGATCATTGGATATGGTTTGATCAGTTCAAACTCAAGCCCATAAAAGACTTTAAAGTCTAAAAATACTATATATATTATTTTCTTTTCGAAAGAGATATTTACGTTGTACAAACCATGCACTAAGTCCATAGCTTTGACAGCGCACCCATGGTGTGCCCGTGCATGGAACGAGCCAGGCAGGACAAGTGAATCAGATAGCACACAAGAACAGGACAGGACTGCAGAGGGTCAGCTCCTGGCTTGGAAAGACACCCCTCACCTGGATGTGAGAAGGAAAAGCCCCCCCCATTCATTGAAGGTCTGACCCCCCTGGTCCCTAAAAATAGCTTGTATATCTTGTGGAATGAGAGGCTGTGGATAACTTAGAGAAAAAATAATTCAAGAAATCAAGATCATATCCCGGACTCAGGACACTGTAGGGAGTAATTCCCAACCCTTAAATGTAAGCACACCTGTCCAGGCACTTCTTAGGAGCTAATTAACTGTGTCACCTAGACAGTGACACTTGCTTCAGTGTCTTCCTCTGTAAAATAAGGATAATGATACCTTTTAGGTTGTTGCTTAGAGAATTAAATGAGATAATGTGTGGAATTGCACACAAGCTTTAATGTACGTTAAATTAACTAGTATATTCCTTTAAAAACCCAGCTGGGGGGCTGGCCAAATAGCTCAGCAGATTAAAGTGCCTTTAAGCAGGCGCAGGGGCCGGGTTTCAATCCCCAGACCTGCCATGCCAGTCCTCCCCCCCTCTCCCCCCCCCCCC